AGTAGCCCCGAGCAACAGTCTCACGATCAGGAGCCATCGCCCACAGGGTCTGAGGGGAATTTAAAATCCAACGCTGAATTTAAGCTAGCAGAGGCCACCTGGAGTGCTGAAAGGAAAAACGTCGGTTTCATTTCGTCGGGTACTTACCCGCCTGCTGATGCTATCGTCCGTTCCGTTGCACACTCTCTTGGCTCATATCATTGTGGCAGTCTTAGCAGTCTTTTCGGTGCGTGGATTCGCACAGTGGAGGCCAGCTTCGCCTCGCATCATGGCCAGGCCAGCCTTGGGAGATCTCGCGCCGAGGGGCCCAAGTTCCGTACCGACACTGTCTTGGAAGCGACGCCGTCCAGGATTGCGCCTATGAGGGATCGCATCAGTGGATGGTGGACCAGGGCCCATGTGGTGCTGGATACATATGCCAAGCATCTGGCTAGAAAGAATGGTGTCAAGCAGCAAGAGTTGTTAGTTTCAACGTGTAAGAGGTTAGCTTCGGAGGCCCCTGATAAGGGGCACCAGGTCATCAGACAGAATGACGGCATCTCGTGGGTTTCTTGGCTGCAGCTCATGTCTACGGTTGATACCTTATGTGCACAAGAGCTGGCTGAGGCAGTCGAGTTTAGTGAACGTATTTCGCAGAGAAGCCAGAGGAGGGCCATCAGTCAGTCTCTGGCCGAGTTTCGTGAATGGACAGAGTCTCAGAACGCGGTGTTCACCCTCCACAGGGCCATTCGGGAGGTGCCGCAGGCACCTCATTCACTCGTGGACGGTGATAAGACCATCCAACACCCGCGGGACATCATGGACAAGAAGAGCCAGAGGTTCCAAGAGCTGTGGGCGCCTGAGGGGCAGCAGCTGGAGGGGCTTCATTCTTTGTTCGCCGACATCCGTGCGCGCGTCGCTGAGGAGCCTCTTCCACCGTTGACAGGGGAGCAGCTGCGGGCAGCTGGCAGAGCCATGAAGCAGACGTCGGCCATGGGAGCCGATCGCCTCACGGCGCTCGACACCGATCGGCTCCCCGACATCGCGCTCGAGGAGCTCGCGGTGATCCTGGCTGCCTGCGAGGCCTGCCAGGCATGGCCGCATCAGCTGCTTCTGACGATCGGCACGCTGCTGCCGAAAAAGGTCACGGGCGACAGAGTCATAGGTTTGCTGCCGCACATCGCGCGCCTCTGGTTCCAGGCGCGCGAGCCGTGGGTGCGCTCGTGGACTGAGGAGTGCGAGGCGCCGTGGGATGCCGCGATCCGCGGCAACGCGGCGCTGCAGGAGGCGTTCGTCCGCGTGGTGGACGAGGAGCTGGCGGCCCGCCTGGGCGTGGCCCACGGCCACGGGCTGCTGGACATCGCCAGCTTTTACGACAGCATCGGGTGGCTGCGGCTGGGGCTGACGGCACTAAGGTTGGACTTCCCAGCCGAGGTGCTGGGCCTGGAGCTGCTGCAATGTATGGCGGCGCGGTGCCCTCGTCAAGCGGGGGCATACTCCGAGGCCTTCGCACCGACCAGGTCGGTGGTGCAGGGCTTGCGTTCAGGCACGCGCTTCGCCAAAGCAGTAATATATTTCATTGTGCAGAAAATTACGACCAGTCATGTGCAGCTTTCTCATAGGTTGTGGATTGACGATTTGAGCCAGGTGTCCAAAGGGTCCAGACGAGCTGTGCGTGATCGCCTTGTTGCCTGCCTGAAAGAGACCTGCATGTTGATGCAGAAGGACGGGCTCACCATCTCTCCCAAGAGCGTGGTGGTGTGCACCAAGCTCGCGGACGCCAAGGAGGTGGTGAGGCGCCTCAAGCTGTCGGGTTTCGCGGTGACGGCAGCGGCGCAGACTCCGTACCTCGGCGTCGACGTCGGCGGCGGCAGACGGCATGTCAGAGCAACGCGGACGGCCAGGATTTCGTCATCGGAAGATGCACGCGAAGGTTGTGAGGTATGCACGTACAGCCAGGCGGTATAGGCTGACGGCGAGGCTGGAACAACAAGGTGCTGCTGCTGCGGGCGCATATGCTCATCAAGTGCATGGTGTTTTTGGTCATCGAATGCGACAGATGCGAACTTTCATGTGTGACGCATCCAGCCCTCGACTCACGGGGAGGTGCGTTGCGACGCTGCTTGACTTGCGTGCTCCAGGGCGTGACCCTGCCTGTCGTTTACCGAAGGAATGTTTGCAGATGTGGATTCGTACATGGCTTTCGCAGCCAGCTCTCAGAAATGGGATCGACAAGACGTGGGGGCAGCTGGCACAGGAGCTTCGGTCGATGCAACCCCAGCTTCGTAGTCGACATGTCAGGGGACCTCAAGCAGCTGTGATCACCTACCTACTCCAAGAAGGGTGGGAACCTGAGGGTCCTGCTGATTGGAGAGTCCAGCCCGACGGCACAGGGATGCAGCACAACTGGCAATTCAATCCAGAGGCTCTGACAGGCTTTGAGAAGGTTGATGTCCCGAAGGCCTTCCTGCAGGAGTACGAGGGCGCGGTGATGCAGAGGCTGTGGCGGCAGGCTGCTACTCATTTCGACGGCGGTGGCATGGGAGATGGGATCTGCAACCTTTCCCTGCGAGCCCTTCTTCGACAGCTCGAGGAGGGGCCCAATGGCAAGCAGCTGTCTGGCATCCGGCTGTCTGCAGCTGCGGGAGCAGCCTGGCCGCGGGAGCGCAGGTCCGAGAAGTCCAAGTTGCCAATCTCGCAAGTATGTGCAAAGTGCAGAGTTGAAGAGGAGACTTTTTTCACAGGATTTGGAGTTGTTCTAAGTGCACAGATCACGACATCTACAAGTTGTCAGACGAATATGCACCGAGGGCCCACACGCAGCATGAGGTCGAGCCATGTTTTTGGCATAGAGGTCTTTTGCCACAGGCGTGGGTCTCCGTTCCGCCCCCACATGAGGAGGCCGCCTGGTGGAGCGAGGGCGTTGAAGCGTTTGAAGATAACTGCTTCGGCGTGGGCTCCGAGTCGGCCCCTGTTTGCCTTTTCGGCGATGCGAATGGGGGCGAAGATACTTCTGACCCTCGCCTGAGACGTGTCGGATGTGGTTTAGCACAGTATTCTGATATTTCGGTTAATATGCAACTTGTTGCTTCTGTGTGGGGGGGCCTCCCAGGACCCGTCCAAACAGTTGCCAGGGGTGAGTTTTTTAGTTTTCTCACTGCGTTGATCGGCGCTGATGGAGTGGTGATTTATACCACCGACAACGCTAATGTTTGCTCTGGTTGGTATTGTGGCCGAGCATTCGCCCCAGAGGGGGAGAACGCGGATTTGTGGCAGCAGGTAGGCCAGGTACTCAGTAGAAAACCCAACCTTGTCTGTACTGTCCTTTTCGTGCATTCTCACCAAGAGGCATGCGACGTCCTCCAGGGCAGAGCTCCTTTGTATTTGGCTGTGGGTAATGCAGCCGCTGATAAGTTGGCGTCAGCAGCAGCACGTGCAGTCAGAATCCCAGCCCCGATTCGTACCAGAGTTCTCACGAATGAGAAGATGGCTTTCGCCGTCCGCATGCGAATTCTGCTCGCCACCTTGGAAACTTTAAAAGCCGAGCAGGCCTTGGCGGCCGAGGAGCCCCGCGGGACCCGCGTCAGGAACCCTGGGCCCAGGCCACCCGCGCCTGTTGTCTGCAAAGAGTTTTCCACGGCTCATACGTTGTCTGAAAGCAGTCTCTTTTGTTTGAAGTGTAGGAGTTCAACTTCTAAGGCTAGGAAAAAAGTCTGGTTGGATACCCCTTGCTTCGACTTGAGGGCTGTAGATGGCGTTGTGTTCAGGCCGCCCCCCCGTTGCAGGGTGCACATCTGTGGGGGGTGGGCTGATGAGACTCACAGTTTACAATATCACGCTGGGCTGGGGATCTGGTTCTGCAGCACCTGTGGTAGTTATGCGGCCCAGCAGTTGGCCCAACTCGGGAAGAGGTGAGATGGCAGACCTGCAAGTAATCGTGTAGATTATTTGAAGAATATCGAACGGGGGATCTGGCCTAAAGCTTACAGCAAAGCTGATCAGGCCAGAAGAGCGGCTCGTTCTCTTTAAGATAACCCGTAACCGACACAGTCGCAATATCCGTAACTCCGTAACTCCTCATTCCTCGTCGTCCTCCCCTTCCCCTCCATCTGGGAGGATGAGGATGAAGAGAAGGAAATAATGTTCAGAATGAGGAGGACCAACAACAGCAGGAGCAGCAGGGGCAGCAGCAGCACTGTGACGAGGATGACGAGGAGGGCAAGGAAGACGATGCGGAGAAGCCCCCATCTGGGCACGGCCAGACCGACCCCTTTTCCGGGCCGAGCCCCATCCGTTCGATGATCCTGAGAACGTGTGCTGGCGCCAACGCGTGCTTGTCCACCCCGAAGCCCTTCGAGACGACGCAGACGGTGCAGTGAACTAACGGCGGAACTGCATGCTTTGGGGGGAACTCGGAACTCAGACCTGCAGTTGTCGCCGGCCAGGACGTCGCAGGTGGGCGCCATAGAGCCGGGCATGTGAAACATCTGCGAAGCTGGGAAAATCAGCATCCACATTAATGATGTACGTATACAAACATGACAACGCACAAGTTACAAAGCACACAGTGGGCCAACGCAAATTGGGCTAACACGCATCTTGAGGATATCAGCAGACCGTATCGACTCCGCTCTCCTCAGTCCAAGGTGTGGGCTGGTGGCCAGAGGGGTCTCTCTAGTGTGAGCGGGAGGGGTCGGCGTGCTGGGTGGAGGTCAGGCCGCCCCGACGTCGCCGACGACGTCGACATCCGCCGCCGCCGCCGCCGTCGCCGTCGTCGTCGTCGCCGCCGCCGTCGTCGTCGTCGTCGCCGCCGTCATCGCCGTCGCCGTCGTCGCCGTCGCCATCGTCGTCGTCGTCGTCGTCATCGTCGCCGTCGTCGACACCGCCGTCGCCGTCGTCGTCGTCGTCGACGTCGTCGTCGTCGTCGTCGCCGCCGCCGCCGCCGCCGCCGCCGCCGCCGCCGCCGCCGTCGTCGTCGTCGTCGTCGTCGTCGTCGTCGACGCCGCCGTCGTCGGTGCCGCCTGCCAGCGGCGGCCCGAAGGCCTCGTGCCCGAGCTCGCGCACCCGCCACAGCTGCGGGGAGGCGCCGCGCGCCAGCGCGACAGTGCCGGCCTGCGACCGGCGCGAGGCGAACCCGCGTCACTCGTCTTCGGCGCGGCGGCGGCTGCCAGCCGTGCTCGGCCAGTCGTGCCATCGGTCGCGCCGCGGTCGGTCGATCGCAGCCGTCGGTCGCGCTGTTCGCTGGTCGACTCCCGTCGTCGTCGTCGTCGTCGTCGTCATCGTCCTCCACCTGATCCTCCTCCTCTTCCTCCTGCTCCTCCTGCTCCTCCTCTTGATCCTCCTCCAAATTTCCCATGGCCGTCCCAGCCCCTCCTGGTCAAGAGTCCCTCTTCGCTACTTCACTCCTCCTCCATCCCTCGACCTCTGTCCTTCGCGTCAGTCCTGCTCCAGCTCCGGCTCCCGCTCTCGCTCCTCGCATTCTTCCTTCACCCTTCTCCTGCACATCACGAGGGTCCTGTGGAAACGGGTCCTGGACCGAAGGGCCTTCCCCGAGGTCAGACTTGCCTCTTTAATGCTTTCGTTGACGGTCCGTAGGCCTGGAAGGGCGCAGGGAGCCAGAAAACGAGGAAACAACGAATTTGGTTCCTCTCCTCCAGGACCCTTTGCTTCATCCCGATCTCTGGCTCGGGGTCAAAAGCCGTCCCCCAGACCCGTCCAAGGGCGCGCTCTGGCCAGGCCTTGGGGGGCAGATCCAACCGCTGTGATGAGGACGCTGGCAAAGCTCAAGACTGGCGGACCAGCGCGTGCACACAAGCGTCGATCCCGAGCCCGCCCGTCGGCCCTCCAAAGGTGGGGCCGTGAGACGTGGGGCCCTGAGGTGAGGAGGACTTGCGTACGTCAAGATCAGCCTGGAAGCCCTCTCCTACTCTTACGACAGCAGAAGAAGAAACGCCAGAAGCAGAAACTTTTGGCGCTCAGCGCGGATTTCCTGGATCTGCGCTGGACCCCATTCCCTGGCGCGCGAAGCGCGCCAGGGGCAGCGCCGGAGGCGGCGCCTGGGAGGCCCAGGCGCGGATCCGAGAAATCCGCGCGGAGCGCCAAAAGTTGATGTTTATGGCGTTTTTTTCTTCTTCGATGCGAAGCCCCACATCCCTCAGGTCCCCGCCCTCGAAGCCCCGCTCTGAGGCTGCGCCTGCCGCTACGGCGCTGCCGGCGTGTGGTCCAGGACAGCAGGCTGCGCAGAGGTGAGGGGCAACGATAGGGGGGACTGGCACAGGGGCGGAAACATCGACCTGGAATCGGCGATACATCGCCGATGGATCGGCGACAGGCCCCCGATCGTGAATCCGCACCTTCCTGGGCAGGTTCGGGCCATCGGGACCCTCTCGGCGATCAATTGGTGAGTGGGGGTCGATGTATCCCCCCCTGTGCCTACCCCCCCTATCGTTGCCCCTGCGCAGAAAAACGGACGGGGCGCCTGCGTCATCAGGCCGGGCGCGTAGCAGACCGCCTCCGTGCGCACCCCGGCCTCGCCCTCGCGGGCGCCTGCCCGCCCCAGCCGCGCCAAAGGGGCGGAGGATGAGGACTGCGGCGATGTCCGCCACCGTGCTCGCCGCGGTGTGCGTCGGGCGCTTTCGATTGTGGCGAGACGTGAATGAGAGCACCCCGACGCATCGAGCCCCAGGTGCGTGCCTTGTTGAAGTTGAGCCCCTGCTTTTTTGGCCTTCCGGGCCGAAAATGATCCCGGAGACCAGGGCCTGGGGGAGGGGGGGTCCGTGGCCCCGTCTGCCATCCCCCTCCCCCGGGTGCCCTCCTCCCCTCCCCGCGCCCGCCCTGGCGCCGAGGCGGAATCGTGCGGCAGCGCAACTGGGTATAGTTTTGTTCGGGGGGGGAGGGCTCAGAGGCGACGAGACGGGCGAATAGTCCATGGGGAGAGCAATACATGTATTCAGGTGCGCCGATGATCTATGTCTTCGAAAAGGCTCCTGGGCGAATACGTGTAATGCCCGCCACTGGGCTATTCGCCCCTATCGTCGCCGCCGAAGGGGGGGGGCGCGCCGCGGGGTGCCAGCGGATTGCAGTCGAGACTGATCGCAGAGGGCACCCGAGCGGACACTTGGGCTCTTGCGAGGGCGACCCTGGTCCCAGACACGAAGGCGGCGCGAAACTCGGCAGGCGGGACGCAAGGGTGCCCTTGATTCTGCAGACTCGACCGTCTGATCAGACGCGACTGTGGGAAGCAAACTCCTTGGAGGCATTCGTGGGAACGATTGGGGACTGCCAGGCCCAATCGAGGGACTACCGACCAAATGAACCCAGATTGAGCCAATGGCCAGGCCACATCAGGCATGATCGACAGACTTAGGCCAGATGAGCCCACATTCTGGCCAAGGAGGATGTGCCAGGGTCGATGCTGAATTCATTCCCCCAGGAGCCGCAACCGAACGACGGGGGCAGGAAGAGACGGAAGGGCGACGGCGAGGGCGCCCTCCCACCGCCCCGGCCGCCGCAGGAGAGGGCATAGGGGCGAGGGGGGCGGCCTTCATCGGAGGGCAGGGGGGCCTCTGATCTCAGCACGCCCGAAACAAGTGTGGAGAAAAGGGTGCGATGCTCCACAGCACGTGCTGTCCACAACCGACAGATCGGCCGCTGTTGGGCAGACGACCTTCGGTCTCAAGTGGACAACGCCCGCGGCGACGCCGACAGCGAGCCCTGCTCCAAATGGCCAGGAACGGCTATCGGCCGCCGTTCCCGTTCTTTCAAGAACCATCTCGGTCGGACCGAGCTTTATCCGGGAAGTGCCGGTCCCTCTCGGAAATAGACAAGCGCGTTCCACTACTCGCAAAGTAGCTACTCGCAAATGGCCTGGATCCGCCGCAGGGGATTTACGATATATTACACAAAGACAGACGAATGGTTTTTAGGACGTTTGTGAGTAAACACTTTGCGAGTAGTGGAACGCGATCGGCGAGGAAAGCATGCTCCAAGAGCTCTCAGCAGGAGCGAAGGAAACGGACACCACCACCACCACCACTGCCAGGAGCCAGTCGGGATTCCCCCCGCGGTGCAGCCCCCCCTGCTTTGCGCGCCCCGCTCGGGGCACCCCGGGGGCACAATGGACAGCCTCGCTGCCGGTGGCTCTCGGCTGGCGGTGTCGCCCCACATCCGACCTTGGAGGCCTCCTGGACGGGGTCGGAGTAGATGTGGTCGGAGGATCGCGCCGCATCGCCGATACGTCGGCGATGTGTTGGCGATGCACCGGCGGTGTATCGTCGACGGCGACGTCGACGTGAAGTAAATCGGGCCCCACATCGAGCCGCATCGGCGATGCATCGGCGATGCGGCGCGATCCTCCGACCCCATCTACTCCGACCCCATCTAAGAGGCCTGGAGACCTGGTGGTGGTGCTGGTGGCCCCCCTCCGACCTACCAGAAGGGGGGAACCTTCTGTAGGCTACGAACGGTGTCGTCGTGACACGCTTGGCTCAGGATGCGCTCCAGGAGCTCCAGCGCATCTGGCGGCCACCGTGTCTGGAGCCCGTGCGGAGCACCAGGAGATCTTGGAAACCCGGGAAATCTTGGAACGTATCAACATGATGACTCTTGCCTCTTTGAGGAGGAGGAGGAGGCGGAGGAGGAGTGGCCCCCGTGACAAAACCCACCCCTCGGCATCCACGTAAGAGTGACCCTTGGCAGGAGTGACCTCTGGTGTGCGACGTTCGGGGGGGTGCAGCGGGAGTGCCACATCCAAGCGCGCAAACCGCTTCGAGCCAATGCTGGGATGCTGGAGGCTTGGAAACGGGCACCGGCACCGTAACAGGGGGTTGCTTCCGCCAGGGGAAAATGGTCTTGGATTTGGGTGTTGGTGGAATTCTCTCGACCGCATGGGAAGTCCGAGTATTACCACCATCGCCGGGAGCGGGATCACATTCCTCTGGTGGAGGCACACCGCCGAAATTGGTGCCGCTGTCAGCCTCTAGCCCTCAGACCGGTGATCCCTGTGGGCCCGCACCCAAGGTCCGCCGGCGAATGGTCGGTTTTGTGTGTAGCCTACCCCCCGCCTCACCACTCCCGCTTGCTGCCCGTGTAAGTCTGTGCTCTGGCACACACGCACAAGAATTTCATGCTCTGAGCGTGCTCCGCCGCCTGCGGGGTCCTCTTCCCCTTCTGCGCCTCTCATGCTGCCCCGAACGGTTTGTTGGATGCCCCGACCGCGTCTTGCACCCGAGTCGCCGCGACAAGAATGTAGCCGACCCCTTCACGCGCACCGCCGGCTGCTGCGAATCGCGACACGGATCGGAGGAGGATTGAGGAGGAGGAGGAGGAGGAGGAGGAGGCGGAGGATGAGGAGGAGGAGGAGGAGGAGGAGGAGGAGGAGGAGGAGAAGGAGGAGGGGGACGGACGAGGGACGGGGAGAACGAGGATGCTTGGCAAGGGGAGCGCGTCCACCACTCCTGGCCTCAGAGCTGGCACTGCGGGGATTGGTGCGTGCGGATACATCCAGACAGAAATTCACAGCCAGACCCTAACAGCGAGACGTGCCAGGAAAATTATACGCACATGCGGGGATCTGCGCGTCGAGAAGCTATGTTGTTCGCGATGGCGCCCGTGACCGAGCCCGCCTCCCCCCATGGTCACGTTACGATTCGCACCCGGCGCCTTTGGGAATGAACCCGTCCTACACATTCGCAGACAGCGCAGGCACGAATCGTGACGTGACCAGCCACCTCCCCCCTCCCCCACACTGCCACGCTCGTGATCGCCAGAGAATTCGCCGACCCTGTCGGCGTGTGGAAGGAGCTGTTCCGTTTCCCTCGTCGTCGTCGTCGTCGTCGTCGTCGTCGTCGTCGTGGTCATTGTCGTCATCGTCGTCGTTATCGTCGTCGTCGTCGTCGTCGTCGTCGCCTTCGCCTCTCCCCTCCTCTTTCCCTAGGCCCGTCGCCGCTCCCCCCACTTTCACCAGGCCCTCCTCCTCAAGCGCGCCATCCACAGGGAAATTGAGTAACCTTGTAGTTGAGTCGAAGGGAAGCCCCTTCCCTTTGATCCCTTCCCCGCTGGGGGGGGCTCCCGGGGTAACAGGGGGGGGTCCCGGGGGGGTCGCCCCCCAGATACGACTCCCCCCAGGGCAGTTCGGGGGCCCAGAAAAGCCCCAAGACACAGCAAAAGTGCTCCAAAATGCCCCCAAGACGGTCCTCGAGGGCCCCGAATTGCCGAAGTATCAGTCCAAATCGCCAAAGTAGCCTCCAGACGGCTCAAAATGTTTCCAAAACGCCTCAAGAGGCCTCCAAGAGGACTTCCAAGAGCGCCCCAACGGGGCAAAAATTATAGATTTCCATAAGTTGTTGAAAACAATTTCGGCATTCTCGCCCTGCCAGCTTCCCGACGCTCCAAGACAGGCCACGAGGCCCCCAAGACCGCTCCAAGATGGCCCAAGAGGCCTCCAAGAGAGACCCAAAACGACCCAAAGAGGGCCCCAAGACCGCCCAAGAGGCCTCCAAGACACCCGAACGGTCGTTTGGACCCCTCGGCCTGAGCTCCCAAGAGGCCCCCAGAGACCCCTAAAAAGCACCCCAAGAGGCCAAAGAGACCTCCAGGAAACCCCAAGAAGCCCCCACGAGGCTCCCACGTGGTCCCCAAGAGCCTCCCAAGAGGCCCCCAAACTACCCCCAAGAGGTCCCCGAGAGCGCTCGTCGTCGTCGCGGTCGTCGTCGTCGTCGTCGTCGTCGTCGTCGTCGTCGTCGTCGTCGTCGTCGTCGTCGTCGTCGTCGTCGTCGTCGTCGTCGTCGCCATTCAGAGTCCACTGCGCAGAATCAAATAACGGAGCTAGGAAAGGAAAAAACGCCATAAGCATAAACTGTTGGCGTTCCGCGCGGATTTCTTGGATCTGCGCTGGGCCCCCTCCCTGGCGCGCGGAACGCGCCACGGGGGGCGCCGGAGGCGCCGCCAAAGGGGGCCAATCGCGGATCCAAGAAATCCGCGCGGAGCGCCAAAAGTTTACGTTCATGGCGTTTTTTCTCGTTTGAGGAGCGCGCGCGTCTGCACGTGCCCACCTCCGCGCGGCGGGCACAGAGAAGGGGCATGCGCCGGACGCCGACGCACGTCGGCCGCGCGCGGGAGTCCGCCCCCGCGGCGCGCGCGCGGAGGCGGCGCCCGCGCGTGCCCTTGATGGGCGCGCGCGCTCGGACCTCTGGCTTACCTCCTGCAGTGGGCGAAGCGACCCCAGCTGCAACGGCTCTGTGCCGGGGTGGGCGAGCACAGACGTGGTCGCAGCCTGCTGAGCCCCAAAGCGGGGCCCAAGCATACCCTGAAGAGCCACTGAGCAGACAGCACACAGCACAAACGGGCGGCCAGGGGGGGGAAGCGGTGGAGGGCGGGCCAGCAAAAACTTCTCGGACCAACTTGGAAACCCGCCGCGCTTCTCGATGCCCGCTCGGAGCCGTGAGGACCTCGACGGCGCGCCCCCTCCGGACGCCAGCCCCCGGCGCGCGTGTCGTCCGCCGCAAGTCCCCCCTGACGTCCACCGCATATCCCCCCCCTGACGCCCGCCCTTCGCACGCTCGACTCGCGAACGTTTTTACGCTGGAGTAATGGGGGGAACACAAAAGGGGGGACGGCAGTAGGTGCAATAGTTGGTTTGCCTGAACTATTGCGCGCGAGCTATTGCACCAACTATTGCTGGGGGACACGAACTGTTGCAAACCGCGCGCCGCGAACTATTGCATCCAGGCGCCAACTATTGCATGAACTATTGCGCCTACTCCCCCCCATTTGTGTTCCCCCCATTACTCTGGCTTAGAACGTTGCTTTCTTCGGCGCCCCGCCACGCCAGTCAGTGCCTCAAGAACGTCCCCCCCCCGCCCCCGGCGGGCCGCAGAGGAGCGTGCCCCGGGTGTCCGCCGCCAGCCAGAGGCCCTTCGGCAGAAGGAGGAATGGGGAGGGAACGCTCTCGTCGCTTCTGCTGCCCCCCTACTCCTGCTCGTTATCCTCTTCCTCGCCCTCATCGTGTTTCGCCTTCTCTCGCCTCCAGATACTCCCCCTTCCACCTCCCCCTTCCTCTATCCGACCTCTCCCTCGTCCATCCCTGCGTCTATGCCATCCTCCCCGCCTCTCCCCACCAGTTCTTCCACTTCGAACCTCCTCTTTTCTCTCTCTTTCTCTCCCTCTCCCCCCCATCCTCCTCCTGCTCCCTCTGTCCCCGCCCACTGCTCCTGCTGCTGCGCACAGGCACCGGCCGTCGCCCAGTCCGGAGCCGCGCCGCCGCACGCCCTACAGGCCCGCGCGCGCCGCCCCAGAACCCCACGCACGCCAGCGAAGGTCGCTTCCAAGGGAGGGGGGGGGGGCCTAGGACCAACACCCTCACTCACTGATGAGGAAGAAAAAGGGGGGGAGGATAATCAAGGCGGATTCGCTGCCGTGACGACACACAAGCGGCGGCCGCTAGCCACGCGGTGACCCTTACTGCAGCAAGCTTCGACATGCCGGGAGCACGGGGCCCGAACCCCAGACAGAGGCCAAGAAAGCCAGGGAGGAGGCCTAACTGAGCCTCGGGGAAGAGACGGAGCAGGTCGAAGTACGGAGCACGAAGAGTAATCATCGCGAGGAGAAAAGAATGACCCTCTGGCCCCGCTCGGAACTTCTCGGCCCTCGTCGTCTTTTCCGGCTTCAAGCAGGCTGGTCTCGCCGTTGTAGCTGTTTCGGTGGTTCTCGGATCTCCGCTTATGGTGCACTGCGTATGTAATAGTGAAGGAGGATATTCTCGGAGCCGTCTGTCCAGCGTACTTTCAAGGTCTGCTTGATCAGATCCAGCACGACGCAGTGGAAGTCCCACCAGCCCTTTGGGCGTGAGTGGTTTAGCCAGCTCTCTCTGTTCTCAACCCCCTATCTTCCCCTTCGGGGAGGGGTTTACCCCTCCCCCTACCCCCTCCCCCTGGACCTGGACAGGGATTCCCGAGTGGTGGCGGGGGGGTCCATTTCGACTCCTCGGAGGGCCAAAAAACGACGACCTTCACGAGGATTCTGGCCCCGGGGGGGGGGGGGAATTTGGTCCCTCTGCTCGTCTTTGAAGCAAAAATCATTGATTTTACCATGGTTTTGGCCCCATTTTGGCCTTCTGAGGGGGCCGCGCTCATCTTCCCTCATAGCAAAATCATTGATTTTACGAAGGTTTTGGGCTCATTTTGTCCTTCTCAGGGGGCAGCTCTCCTTTGCGCTTCTGCGGAGGTCGCAAGAGGCCCCAAGATGGCCCCAAGAGGCCCCCAGGAGGCTCCCAAGAGGCCTCCAAGAGGCCCCCCAGAGGCCCCCAAGCGGCCCCAAGAGGCCCCCAAGAGGCCCCCAAGAGGCCCCCAAGAGGCCCCACGAGGCCCCAAGAGGCCCCCAAGAGGCCCCCAAGAGGCCCCCACGAGGCCCCAAGAGGCCCCCAAGAGGCCCCAAGAAGCCCCCAAGAGGCCCCCAAGAGGCTCCAAGAGGCCCCCAAGAGGCCCCACGAGGAGCCCGAACGACTCACATCAGGACGAGGGGCCCGAACGACTCACACCACGAAGAGCCCGAACGACTCACACCACAAGGAGGGGCCCGAACGACTCACACCAGGACGAGGCGCCCGAACGACTCACACCACGAGGAGCCCGAAGGACTCACACCACGACGCGGGCCCCGAACGACTCACACCACGAGGAGCCCGAACGAGTCACACCAGGAGGAGGGGCCCGAACGACTCACACCAGGATGAGGGGCCCGAACAACTCACACCACGAGAAGCCCGAACGACTCACACCAGGACGAAGAGCCCGAACGACTCACACCACGAAGAGCCCGAACGACTCACACCAGGAAGAAGGGCCCGAACGACTCACACCAGGACGAGAAACCCCAAACGACTCAAATCACGAGGAGCGCTTTCTCTCCCTCCTCCTCCGCCTCGTCCTTCTCCCGCTCCCCTCACAAGGAGGATGTACAAGGAGGCGGGAGGAAGGAGGAACAGGGGAGATATGCGGGGCCAAGCGGACACACGCCTGAAAAACACGACTGTCGGCATGCTTCGCGAGAGTTGCTGCTGTGAGATGGGCTGGTGGGGATACGCGAAGCGTAAAGAATGCCCCTTGCCGCACTTGCCCTCGCAATGCCACCGATGGCGATGGGCATGTTAGGTATGCGGGTCTTCTGGGGAGCACCATTGCGCCTGCCTTCTTCTTCGGCCTCGATGTCAAATCTTGCATCCAGGTGCCCACACATAGCCCCTCGGACCCGGGGAACGTGGCTCCGCGAACGATGCCAAACTTCAGCTGCTGCTGCTGCCGAGCGCCTCGCGCCTTCTGCTGCAGGTCGGGGACTAGTTTGTCGATCCAAACGTGGACTGCCCGCGCCAGGTCCACGTTCGCGGTTGGCCGTCTCATCGGGCCTGCCGTGTCCTGGTGGCCCACCGTGTCCAGATAAGTAGCCCAGCGCTGTCATGTGGCCAGGCGTGTTCTGGTGGCCCAGCGTGTTCTCGAAGCGCTGCTGGTGGCCATGCGCCTGGCGTGTTCGGGTGGCCCAGGGCCTTCTCGCGGCCCGGCGTGTTGGGGTTGCCCAGCGTGCTCTCTATATGCCCAGCGCGCTCTCGTAGCCCATCGTGTTTTCGTTGCGCAGCGCCTTCTCGTAGCCCAGCATGCTGTCGTGGCTTGGCGTGCTCTGGCGGCGCAGCAGCTCCGTTTCGTTGCCCAGCGCGTCCTCGCGGCGCAGCGCGTTCTTGTGGCCCGGCGTGTTCTGGTAGCCCAGCGCCTTCTCGAAGCCGAGCGCGTTCTACTGGCTCGATTATTTCTGGTGGCCCAGCGCCTTCTCGTGGCCCACCGTGTTGTGGTCGCCCAGCGTGGCCTTGTAGCCCACTGCCGCATCGTGGCCTTGCGCGCTCTGGTGGCGCAGCGCGCTCTGGTAGCCCAGCGCCTTCTCGCTGCCCATTGCGTTGTGGACCAACGTGTTCTCGAAGACCAGCGCTCTCTCGTAGCCCATCGTGTTCTGATCGCCCAGCGTCTTCTCGTGGCCCAGCGTGTTCTGGTGGCCCAACTCAGTCTCGCAGCCCTCGTAGTCCCGCGTGTTCTAGTTGCCCTGCGCCTTCTCGCAGCCTGGCGCGCTCTCGTGGCCCAGTGCTTTCTTGTTGCACAGCGCTGTGTCGTGGCCCAGCGTGTTCTTATGGCCCAGCGTGCTCTGGTGGCTCAGCGCCTCGTAGTGGCCTAGCGTCTCCTGGTGGCGCAGCGTGTCCTGGTTGCCCGGCGCCTTCTCGCGGCCGAGCGCGCTGCGGTGGCCCAGCGTGTTCTCCAACCCTAGCCAGCTCTCGTAGCCCACCGTGTTCTGGTAGCCCAGCGCCTTCTCGCGGTCAAGCGTGTCCTCGTGGCCCAGCGCGTCCCGGTGGGACAGCTCCATCTCGTAGCCCAGCGTGTCCTCGCGACACAGCGCGTTCTCGTAGTCTGGGTTGCTATGGCAGCCCAGCGCCATCACATACCCCCGCGTGTTCTCGTGGCCCAGCGTGTTCTGGTGGCCCAGCGCCTTCTCGAGGCCAAGAGTGGTAACCCGGCGTCCTCTCGTAGCCCAGCGCCGCCTCGTGGCCCAGCGCGCTCTTGTCGCCCAGCGCCTCCTCGTGGCCCACCGAGTTTTGGTGGCCCAGCGTGTCCTGGTAGCCCAGCGCCGTCGTGTGGCCAGGCGTGTTCTGGTGGCCCAGTGTGTTCTCTAAGCGCTGCTGTGGCCATGCGCTTGGCGCCAGCAAGCCAGGCGTCAGACCAGGCATGCCGCACTTGTAGCCGAATTCATCACTGCCGTATAGGAATGGTACTCGTAGCTGCCGTCGCTGTCGTCCTCGTATATGTCGTGCTCGTAGGTATGCTGCTGCACTGGGACCTCCACGACGATGTACTGTAGATGCTGACATGTACGCGCCTGGTGCTCTCGTATAGCACCTATCCCGTGCGCGCTCTCGTTTACCATGCTGTCCTTGATTGTCCGCGCGTGCTCTCGTACAGCAAATCTCCCTGATGTATCGTACTTGATGTCCTACCGATTGACCTCGAGCAATTTCCGGAAATCGCTGCTCAAGAGAATTGCGACATCCTTGGCATCCGCAGTCGTCCTCCGTCTGACAGAGTAAGTAAGCCAGTCTACGAGCTGCAGTTCGTAGTCTCGCGCCATGCTGATGTGCGTGCCGCGGTGGGTCCATCTCGTAGCTTATGTTGCTCCCATCGTACTTGAAGACCACATCCCAGAAATAATTTCAAGCACCCGGAAAAGTGCCGAATAAGTGTCGAAACAGTGTCGGACGAGTGTCTCCCAGGGCCCGACGCGTGAAAACCCTCACGTTTCGGTACTTTCTTGGTGCTCGAAATTCTTGCTGGTGGTCAAGGCCAAAGTAGGTTGGAACATCATAACTCGTAGCCTGTCTTCGGTGAGCGAACTTTTGGCGCCCGCGGCCTCCGTGCCACCGCCACGGACCGGCGGCTGCCAGCGCGGGCTATAGGGCCCACCCCGCGGCCCTGCGCCAGAGTGCGGGGGGGGCGTCCCCGCATGTGACCCTTCCCTTCCTCCTCCTCCTTCTCCTCCTCCTCCGCCTCCTCCTCCTCGTCCTCCTGCTCCGTCTCCTCTTCCTGCTCCTGATACCCCTCCTCCTGCTCCTGCTCCTCACCCTTCCTCCCCACTCTCCTCGCTCCTCCACGAACGGACGCCCCTGACCTCGGCAGAGATGACCAGATCCACCTCCCTCCTCCCTTACCTCACGTTTGATCCACGTTGACCAGCGTGTTGTGGTGGCATGGCGACCCTATCCGAAATGATTTCCCCCGCGTCTGCAGTCCACACCCCGGAGCACGCGAGCAGCACTTCAGCATCGACAAGAGTCACTCGCACTCTCCGCGCGCGCTCGGGTTCCAGCCGCAACTCTCCCTCCACCTCCCTCCTCCACTTCGTTGACGAGGATTCGCGAGGCTCTCCCTCCCAGATGCAGTGTGACCACTTGGGGTGCCAGAGCGGGATATGATTGCTGCGGTGGCTCATAGGGGGTTGTCGGTCTCGCTGCTCTGGGCATCAATTGCATCCAGGTAGACTCTGGTCTTCAGATGCTTACCATGCCTGCTGCTGCTAGCCAAAGAAGCTCCTCCTCCTCTTCCTTCTCCTCCCGCACTTATGGAGGCCTCTTAGATGGGGTCGGAATAGATGGGGTCGGAGGATCGCGCCGCATCGCCGATACATCGGCGATGCATCGGCGACGCATTGGTGATGCATCGGCGATGCACCGGCGATGAATCGTCGACGTCGGCGATGCATCGGTAACGTCGACGTGAAGCAAATCGGGCTGCACATCGAGCCGAATCGGCGATGCATCGGCTATGCGGCGCGATCCTCCGACCCCATCTACTCCGACCCCATCTAGGAGGCTTGGAACTTAGCTTGGAGGAACATCAGGAGGCAGGAGGGATGGAGCAGCATCAGCAGCAGCAACAGCAACACAAGTCCGCTGGAGGCACGGGAACAACCGCAGCGCCCGCCGCAAAGCCAGCAGAAGCGTGAGGATACAAGATGATTCTCGCGGGCGGAGGCAAGGAACACCAGGGTAGCGCTGCGCTGCCGGCTTGGGTGTCGAGCCGTTGCGGCGAGGGCGCCATAAGAGGACGATCTATATCAAACCACGTCCGAAACCTGGATCCTCGATCCTCGGCAGGAGCGGGAAATGCCGCGGGGCGGTAATAATCCACCTCGCCGATCGTGACTGGGCCCGTCCTGGCAGCGCAGCCCAGGACTGGTGTGGATGCCCGCGGGATTGGCCAGGCAAACGCACACACACAGTCACCACTCACACACATACACACACACACACACACGCACAAACGCACATTCACCAATCACACGCACACACACACACACCAATGATGGGCCCAGCAGGGATCAGCGATAGCGGATAATTGACGCCCCCCGAGTATGGAACATCAGCAGCACCATGAACGACAACAGACAGGATGAAGAGGAGGCAACCACCTCTTCCTCTTCCTCCTCCTCCAACTCCTCCTCCTCCTCCTCCTCGTCTTCCTCCTTTCCCTCCTCTTCCTCCTTCTCCATCTACTCCTCCTTTTCATCTTACTCCGTCTCTCCTATTTTTGGCCTCCGTCCGAAATCCGTCCTTTCGCCTCGCCCTCCCCGTCAACCGCCCCCCTCTTTCCTTGGCAGCAATGCCAAAAGAACAGCAACGGGTGGGGCACCCACCTGCTGCACCCTGACGCGGCCAACGCCTTCGGCCATCCCGAAAGTCGCCTGGGCCCCGCCCTGCGCGCCGTCACCCTCCAAGTCCTCCCTCCCCCATTCTCTCGTCCTTCTACTCATCCACCTATCGAACTCAAGCGCTGCGTAACGGCGTGTTCCGCGAGGGCCTTGAAATCAACATCCAATGTGAAAAAAACAATGTTTTAGATGCCGAATTTCGGACATGGATCGATACTTCGTTAAGAATGGGACAATAATGGCGTGACAACAGAACAAGCATGGAGTGATGCAGGAGCAATAATGGAATGATCAATGGGGCGATATACATACGAAGGGTACGAAGTGATAGAGGTGCGGCCGCTCCTTTTAGGGGAAATAATATGGCAATTTTAGGTGACAGTGGTGCTGCCTGCATTCCGGCAGATTTGCTCGAGCGTTGTGTGTGGAGCTGCATTGCGCAAGATCCTAGCATGTCTCGCTCGTTGGTTCAAGCATTCGCTCGATTGGTTAGCGATATTCCCTCCCGGAAAAAAAACATGTATAGCCGGTGTGGGACTGGAGATGTCGCGATTGACGCCGGTTCATGTGACGCGATAGCACCATAGCCACTATACTATCTAGATCGATCAAAAGTTCATTGATAATTGAAACGTGGCCCAGAAGAGTAATGTAATGCCAGCAGTTTGCTATTGCATCTGAAGTCTTGGGGGTTTGGGGAGGTTCCAGAGTGAAGCAAGGTTGGACACAACCAAACAATTAATGCTGATGGCAAAAAGGGGCCCCGCGTATATCCCCCACGCAATCAGCTGGCCTGGGGGGGATAATGAAGCAAGAATGGAGCACGTAAAGGAATAGGAACAGCAGAAACAAGGAGCAGTCATGAAACATTAATTGGGCCATTGCGGGGAGATGACGGGGCAGGAATGGAGCAATGATCGCGCAACAATGGAGCGATGCTGGAGCAACTATGGAGCACAAGCGGAGCAATAATGGGGCAAGAGTGCGGCAGCAATGCAACGAAAGTGGCGTAAGGATGGAGCAGGCGCGGAGCAAGAGTGGGGCGCGCACGCAGCAGGATCGCAACAGTAGTGGGGCAACCATGGAGCCATAAGGGAGTAGGACAGCACTGCGCGTGGAGTGAGAATGAATGAGGAAAAAGGGAGGACTCAGGAGGAAACGTCCATATGATAAAGCAAGGAAGACAAGCATAGGGGCAAAGGCGAGTGGAGCCCAAAAGCAAATATCGCACAAACGGTGTGGCGCCGATCTGAAAATGGAGCCAATGGTGCACCGGTGCCCCAGCGATGACCGGCAATCGGGCAAGGGCAGAGCCATGGCGAAGCAAGAGCGGAGCAAGGACCGAGTAATACTGGAGCACGAACGGATCTGACATTGAACAATACCTGAGCAAGAATTGAGCACGGATGGAACGATACTGGAGCAATAATAACATACTAAATAACGCTTGGTTAAGCATGGAGTGAAACGGCACTAATCATGGTGGAAGTAAGGGGCAAGCATGGAGTGGGACTGGAAGCAGGCTGGAACGCGGCTGGAGCTAGAGCGACACGAAAGTGGACTGAGCTTGAAAACCAATGGCAAGTGGACGGAGCGCACATAAAGGCGCAGTTGAATGGGCCCGAGGAAGAGCGACGCATCAGGGGTGCAACGGCGATTTGACACTGGAGACAACGGTGCAAGAATGCGTCAGAATGTGTTAGCTTGGGGCACGAATTGCGACGAATCCGCCCGACTGACCATCCATCCGTTTTGGCCTTGTCGGACCATCCGCCGACGCCCCCCAGAGGGCGTCTGCCCTGGACTCGCGAGATGCGACCCAGGAGACCTGCGATCACGGCTCAGTGAAGGCGGGGTTCATATCTCGCGGGATTGCCCCCGGAGGCGGCGCTCGGGCGTTGCGGATTCCCCCTTAGGGGCGGCGTTCGTGGGTCGCCGAACACCCCCTGGAGGCGGTGTCGTGAACGACCCACCCCCCCGCGACCCGCGTCGCAGGCCTTGCTGCAACTGCTATTTTGGATGCGTGGGCCCACCCGGGCGCGGGCCCGGCCCCGCGGGCCCAGGCGCCCTGGCGGCCGCCGCGACGCCCGCGCGTTCTGCCCGCGCAACCGGCGCATCGAACGTCGTGCCCGAACAGTTTTTGTTTGGATGGCGTTCCTAACAGGTTCGACGAGGTTTCTCGGGGGCGCCCCGAAGCCCTTCAGTCGGCGGGGGGGGGCGAGGGGGGTTTCGCAGGAGCTGCTCGCAAGTTCTGCGAAATGCCCCGCCTCGTCTCTTCCACCCGCATTCGCGCTCCCCCCCCCGCGGGGCTCGCTTCTCGGGGCGCGGGCGCGCGAGGCGTGGAAATGCTGGGGCCTCTCAAGGGCTCCTGGACGGCCCCGGGAACCTCGGGGCGCCTGGGGCCGCCAGGGGCAGCAAAAACGGGGAGATGGAATTGCGATTGTGCAAAGGCCGGGCAAAAACTGCGCTGGGGATTAGCCAGGCGCGAATGGGGCAGCAAGTCACGCGTCATAAGAATGGAGGATGTAATCAGCGAGAAGAGCACGACCAGAGCGATAATGGAGCGTGGCCGAAGCAAAACGGAACGCGCGTGGAATGATAGTGGGGCGTTGACGAAGCGAGGATGCAACAATGCAGTTTGAAGATTTCCCCAGAAAGATTTACCAGATATTTTCCGCCCAGAGGGCGCCGGCCCCGTTCGCCGCGCTGACCCGATCTATGCATGGGCGACGCAAGACGGGAGATAACATTATATGTCTACACACCGTTTAGCCGATGTCTTTTTCTGGAAAAAAACCCACGCACTACGATGGGGGGCGAAGACGGGGCAAACACGCAGCGATACTGGGGCTATATTCAATAATGGCGAAGCGCGAACCGACTGAGAACGGAGCAAAGACGGGGAAACTAATGGGGCAATAATGGAACAATCATGGAAAATAGGGTAAGCATTGAACAATCACGGGGTCGAAATTAAGCAGGCATAAAGCAGGAAATGTGCGATCGTGGTGCGAAAATGGAACGCGAATGGAGTAATCGTTGGATTCAAATGCAATGAGAATTTGGCTGAAATGGACAGGCGCGCAATGGAGCAATATTGGTGCCATAATGAAAGAGCAGTTTTGTATGAACGGAACCGCGGTAAGAGTCTAATCGGATTTTGGGGCAAGAGTGACGCGAGAGCGAGGTGGGCGGGCATCGAAAATTTGGCAACTATGGAATGGGCGCGGAGCACGGATGGAGCTACGCATGCAGCACTAATTATATGAGAATGGAATCATAATCGGGAGACAGGCGACTAATAACGAAACACTAGCGGAACAATACGGAGGAATCGCGGATCAAGAACGGGAGTGAGCACGGGGCAAGACTTGAAAAACCATGGGGCAGGCGTGGGGCGATAATCCCCGTGGAATGTCAAGCACGGAGTAATGGTGCAATGAAAATTGAACAAGAACGAAGAAGGGGCGCAATGATCATGGAATAAGAATGTCGCAGGAGCGGAGAAATATCATAATCACTGTGGAACAAACATGGAATAATAATCCCCGAAGAGACCCCCTGTCGAGAGCGCTCCAAGACGCGCGCGGAGGTCCGCGGGGGCGTTCCGAGATGCCTCGACTGGGGGGGGGGGGGAGGGCTCGCCGAGGTATATAGCCAAATGTCATAGCAGGTCTCCCCGCAGGTAAACTGGCCATGAACGTCAACGCTGTCTGTAGTGCAGTGTTGTCGGAGACAATTTCTCTGGCTATTAAAGCTTCAATATACAATGAATGTCGTGCATCGCCGTATTGTACCTGAACGTCGCGGTTCCCCACTCGAATGATGACTTGACCCCTTTCAGGATCGTTCCTTACAACTGGGAATGGGCCATTCCAGCCTCCCAATGTGGGGAAAGCTCATTGCACGGGCGTATCGCTGGGCACATCGCTGGGCGCATCGCTCGGCATTGCCTGGCGTTGTTCTGCGTTGCTTCGCATCCCCCAGCATTGTTTCGCATTGCCTTGCATTGCTTGGCATTGCTTCGCGTTGCCTCGAATTGCTCGGCATTGCATGGCATTTTTTGGCGGCCCTCGGCATTGTTTCGCTCTGCGCGGCATTGCTCGACATCGGCGTGTCGTTGTCTTCCGCCTCCTCGCCCGCGCTCGCGCTCGGGAGGCTCCCGAGGAGCACGAGGGGCGGCCGAGGATGGCGCGGCGTGAGGCTCCCGCCTGCGGCCACGTCCCCGGGGCGGACGCCGCCAAGGCGTCGTCAGACTGGACGGTGTTGACACCCCGGAGACGCTTGAAGGCTTGTAGCCTGAGAACGTGCACAGCGCGAACGCGAGGATACAGTCGGACTTGGTTGGAGAGGATACGCGAGAGGACACAGGACCCTTGCGAAGGCGGCATCGCCACTGGAGCGTAAGAAGGCACGCGTCGCGGGGCACAGGACACAGGGGTACCCTTGAGCCGGCAGGGCCGACCTACTAATCTGGGCCGACTGTAGCCTGAGAACGTGCACAACGCGAACGCGTTGTGAAGGTGCAGTGAAGCTCTGCCGAGCAGCTTGGCCTCCTGCCACGCCACAGCGTGCCACGGGGGGCGCGGTGGCGGATTCCGTGATCGCCGCGTGCGCCAAGGCCAGTCGGCCGGCCGAGGCCGAGAAGTGGGTCAAGCTGATGGAGGAGAGTTCCTCCTCCTCCTCCTCCTCCTCCTCCTCCTCCCTCCTCCCTCCTCCTCCCTCCTCCCCCTCCTCCCCCTCCCTTCTTCTTCTCCTCCTCCTCCTCCGAAGGTGATCAAGATGTGTGAGAGGAGGCCGGTCCAGACTGAGCCCCTCCATCCGCGTCTTCTTTCATTCCCGCCCTCCCCGCAACCGGCTTCCCAACCGAATCGTTTTTGTGAACAAGTCTGGGGCCCGGCAGGGCCCATGGATGCCGACGGTGAGTGCGAAACAGCGCACGATACTTCCTCGAGACGTCGAAGATCTGTGAAAAGGAAACTGCCAACTCCTCCTCTTCCTCCTCCTCCTCCTCCTTCTCCTCCGCCTCGCCCTCTTCCTTGGCACAGCGGGACGGCTTCAAAAAGGTCTAGCATAGCCGCGGGGGCATACAACCAAGGGCACCTCACAAGCTCCAAGAGGGGCTGAAGAGACTGCTCATCCTAGTCCGAAGGAAGGTGCTACCATGATCAAGCTCCCCAAAGCTTGTCGACGGGAGAACCCAATGCACCCAAAGAGCCACACGAGAGCTCAGAAGGCTGCCGACAGGGCCCGCCTGCAGAGGCCCACTGAACTGCTGCAAGAGGCGTCGGAGAGGCCCGAAGCCCATGTTGACCATTTGTCTCCTGGCGCCGCAGCTCAGCAAGAGCAGAGGTGCACAGAGGGGCATCTCAGTGAGCCACGACGTGCCACGAACGCACGCACAAGAACAGGCGGAAGCTAGGGGGCAGGATCAATGCTGGGTGGCGACATCCGAACCCTACCCCCACCAACCATCGATCCTCCTGAGTCGATGGGAGCCAGGGGCATGGTCTGGACTTCGCCACGTGTCTGCCCCCGCCGCCCATCGATTTGCCTGGATCGCTGATCGGCGAGGGTAAGCTTGAGACTTCGCCGACGAGATAACCACTTCCGCGCGCAAGCTAGCCCTAGGAGCGACGGGACCGCCGCGACGATCGGGCTTCCCGCCCGCTTCGAGAAGGAGAGGAACTGAGATGAGGAGGACGAGGAGGAGAGGCGAAGAAGGAGGAAGAGGAGGGTCAGAAGTAGGAGGAGGAGGAGGTGGAGGAGAAGAAGGGGGAGGAGGAGGAGGAGGATAAGGAGGAGAGGGAGGAGGAGAAGTGGCTTGTGGCCACTGCACCATGGGAGCCCCGAGCAGAGCGCCGCACGCCCCGCCGACGCCAATGGTCCAGTGGTTGTCCAGTTGCTTGTCCCGTGGCTTGCCTCGCGGTGCTGTCCAGTGGGTTGTCCCGTGGGTTGTCTCACGTATTGTCCGGCGGTTGTCCCTCGGGTTGATTCTTGGTTGTCCCGTGGGAAGTGCACATCAAAACTCAATCCCACATGCAATCGAAGTGTATTTCGAACTGCCAATGCGATTACAATACAAACGCAATTCGACGTCAAGTCGGTACGAATTTAGGTGTGCAAATCGAAATGCCAATCGAAGTGCATACCCCGTCGCAGTCGAAATCCACATCTCAAGTCCGATCGCATGGAGCATCACATTGCAGTCTCCATGGAAATCCCACATCACCTAGATCGACGGCACATCGAAATGCAAATCCAATCACAATCGACATGCTCATCAAAATGAAAGTCTACATCCTGTGTGAAGTTCAAATCGAAAGGCAATTTGCGATGCTGATCGAAATCCAAATCGGAATCACTGCAATCGAGATACAGTTTGAACTGAGATTCGAAATGCAGTTTCCTCACCCAGCCCAATCTGCTTAACCCTCAAAGGGTGGTCTGAGGTGAAAAACCTCCCGAGACGTGGGCCCTGCCTAACCTCCCGAGCCCTTCCCCGGTGCTGGTTTCTCACCCGAGCCGTTCGTTTTCAAAGGGCCCTGGGACACACAAATGAATAAGCACAAATCCCAAGATTCCGCTGTGTTTTCAAATTAGTTATGGGTTTTCGTCTTCCCCCCCACCTCGCATATTTTCCTATAACTTCTTAGGAGTCGATGATTCTTTGTGTCTGTGTGTTTTGTCCCCTCCTGACAAACACGCCCCCAGAAGGCTGAACTTTGCACTAACAGGCACAGACCTGCCACCCCGTATGTCTCCGAGCCGCCGGATCTCGGGATCCGAGCAAGGCGCCCCCGCCCTCCCAGCCTCGAAGTCGTCATCGGGCTGCCTGCCGCGTTCCGCCGCAGCCTGCCCTCCATATGGGCTGGCCCGCGCGGACGGCCTGTGTCCTGCTCCCTCCATCTTCCTCCTTCACTGTTCGTCCTTCTCCTTCCCCTCCCTCCCATCCCTCTCCCTTCGAACGAACTCCTCCTCGTCGCGCCACGAGCGTCGGCAGGGAGGCGCAGGGTACTTCGCCCGAGACCTTCTCAGAGTTGTGGAGTGCCCCGCCGACCAGCCAGAACTGGGGGAGCTGTGGTCCTTACCCCCCTGGGGGGACCCATCGCGTCGACGATCTCTCGAGAGGGGTGTCGAAGTCGATGGGTCCCCCAGGGGGGTAAGGACCACAGCTCCCCCAGTTCTGGCTGGCCTGCCACGCGCAGTCGTCTGGAATGTTCCAGCAGCTACAGAGATGGACGGAAGGCGGGTCGGCTACGAAGTGTGGCTCGGGCCTCAGCGCCGCGCGCATCCGTCACAGAAGAGTCCCAATGGGGCTATCGTATGGGACGTCATCGAATGTTCTGACCGAGTGCCTGCGGCAGATGAACTAGTCTCACGGATGGCGGGCGGCTCCGTGTCACAGTGGGGCTCTTGATTGAGACATGATGCTACATTGCACCACGTGTTTTACTTTTACGTTTGCCACCCAACAAACTGAGGTCTCTCTCTCTCTCTCTCTATTTGGATATCCAACCTGCCGCGCACTCTGCATGACGCAGTCTACAACACGTGGTGCTATCCATGTGAGACTGTATTTTGCCACCAGCCTGTACCACGCGGGACCACCTCCACCACTCGTCGTCAGCTCCAATGCTCGAGCAAATACCCCACCCGACCGCCCGCAAATCCGTTGGCAGACTCAACTGGCACCGCGAGGACCCTTCTCGTGCCAGTCCATGCCTCGGGCGGGCGAATGATGACGGTGGCGCTGATGACGAGGGCGGCAACGAAGACGATGACGATGATCATGTTGACGACGGCAGTGGGGATGATGACGACGGCGATTGTGATGAAGGTGCTGGTGATCAGATCGACGCTGGCGATGGTAAAACGCTGGTGCTGATGAGGACCATGAGGAAGTGCGCGTGCGCAGAAATTCTGGCGATCTAACACAAAGTGCACCAGCAGTGTGATTGACAAACCAATGGGTGTTTCCATCCGATGTTTTTGAAAGGATCTAATCGTGCGCGCGGAAACGCGCGCGTGTGGTCCGCATTGTGTTGTTTGACAGCGGCTCTGCGGTGGTGTAGAAACTGTTTCAGAGCTGCGTCGAGACTGCGGAAAACTGCTGGGGCAGAACAGAAACGATCGATACCCAACATTATCCCCCGACCTCCGCTTTCGGGTCGGACGAAAAGGGGGGTGGGGAAAAGGGTGTTGACGAATCAGCCCGCGTAGTTGACTTTTCCCGCGCCGGAAAGCGTCGGGAGGCGCCCTTGCCTCGAGGATGGGCGCCCGACAGCGGGGCCGAAAGCGGCTGCATGCAGCAAATTTCGTACCCCCCCCCTTCCCCCATCTCCCCTGTCGTCCGACCCGACGCTTGCCCGCCATCTCGGAACTCCTGACAACCCTTCCCGGCCTCCTTGGCGCTGGACTTGCCGCGCGCGGGGCCGCTCACGCACAGGGAGTGCTCGCCTGCCCCACCGCCGCCCGCGCCACTGCGAGCGAGTGCAGCCCGCCTATTCTGCCCTGTCACTACTCATCCTGCCGCGCCTCGTCGTGTCAAGTTTGCTCTCTCCCTCTCTCTCTCTCTCTGTATCCCTCTCGTTCCCTCTCTTTGTTTGTTGCTCTCTCTCTCTCTCTCTCTCTACACACACACACACATGATCCGCCACCGTGCCTTCGGGCACGGACTGGGCGTGTCCCCAGGTCCCTTGATGTAGCCCTCAATCCTCTGGATTAAGGAGTCTTACAGAGACCCGGATCCGAAAGGGCCAAACCGGTCCGGGGCGGCTTGTCACATAACTTTTTCGGGTCGTAGAGTGCCACAGACGGGCCAAGAGGGCCCCAAGAGGGCACCAAGAGGCCTCCAAGACGGTCCGAGAGGGCCCCGAGTCGCCGAGCGATCGGTCCAAGACGCTCAAGATGGCCTCCAGAGCCCAAGAGGTCTGCAAGACGGCCCGAGAGGCCTCCTAGACTGCCCAAGAGACCCCCAAAAGGCCTTCTTTGAGACCCCCAAGAGGCACAACTTCTTGATTTCCCGTAGTTTGTTGCAAGATTTTGGTGTTCTCGTCGTTTCGGCTTCCCGACGCTCCAACACGGTCCAAGAGGCGCCGAAGACAGCCACAAGACGGCCCAAGAGGCCTCCAACAAGGCCCCAAAACGGCCCAAGAGGGCACCAAGACGTCTTAAGACGCCTGCGAAGACGGCCCAAGAGGCCCCCAAGACGGGTCCAAGAGGGCGCCCAGACGGGGACCCGAACGGACATGTCGAGCCCTCGGCTCTGAGAGGCCCCCCAGAGGCACCAAGAGGCCCCCAGAGAGCCCGAAAGGGCCCCCAAACTGCCCCCAAGAGGCCTCCAAGAGGCTCTCAATAGGCCCCCGAGAGGCCCCCAAGATGCCCCACAACTGTCCCCAAGAGGCGCCCGAGAGCGTTCCGAAGAGACCCCCAGACGCATCACTGAGGACTCTGACTCACAAAAAATCCAGGCACCGTTGCGGGATGGGCTGAAGGCCATTGATATAAAGTACTGATGTGCGCAGGACTGCATTGGCACTTCACACCATGTACCTTGGTCCTGAATGTTTGGCATGCAGGCGGAAGGGCAGGAAGCTGACACTGCAAATCTAGCGACAACTCCTTGTTGCAATTTTCCGACATCGCCGTTGTAATAATGTTATTCGTTATCCATCCCTCCTGCTTCCTCTTCCTCAGTCTCGCCCTACCCTGCGGATGCGTCCCCATCCTCCTTAGCTCTTTTTGCGGAGGGTCATCCTTGGAGAGCCTCTTGGGGGCCTCACGAAAATGCGTAAGGGCTACTTGGGGCCTTGTAGAAGCCTCTAGGGTTCCTTCTGGTGGCCTGGGGGCTTCCTCGGGCCACCATGCTTCCAACCGCAATTTCCCTGAACGACTGGGTAACGATTTGGACTGCTTCGGCGGGCGTCTCTGGGCCGTCTTGCGTCGTCATGGGGCTCTCTTCGGGCCATCTTGGGGCCCTGTTGGGCCATCTTGGGACTCTCTCGTGGACTGCCTGGAAGCCCTTTGGGATAATTGTTGTTGGGGCGATGTTCTGCCCTCCTGGGAGGTCTCCGACGCCAGGCAGACCGAAGAACACAGCATTCCCCGAACCACACGAAAACCAGTGGAAATCAATGTCTTCTTGCGTTTCGAATGCCTCTTCGGGGGTCTTCTCTGGGCCGTCCTCGGGCGTCTGGTGGGTCTGAGGCCTCTTGGGCCCTCGCGGGGTCGCGGGGCCGTTCGGCCGCCCTCCTGATCGAGCTGGGTCCGGTGCCTGGGCCCAGCAGGGGCTGCCAGGAGCCCAGGGAAAGCCCACGGGACCTTCTGCAGGGTCGGCAAGGGACCTCCCCGCGGGCCCTGGATCCGAGGGGTCGCGATATTTTGGAGCAGGGGGGGAAATTGTCCCCTTCCCCCAGATTGTGAAAATATCCGCCGACACCCCCCCCCCTTGCCAGGGGGGAAAATGCGTGTGAGACATTTGGCCGTTCCCCTCCCCCTTCCCCCTCCCCTGGGGCCCTGGGGTATACAATCCGATTAGAGGGGAGAGGCCGGAGTGCGTGCACCAGTTCGTTAAAGACGCAAGAGGGGCCCGACAGAGCGCCAAGATAGTCCAAGAGATCGCCGAGAGGGCCCCGAGTGGACACACGACGACCCAAGATGACTTCAAGACGGCCCACAAGGCCCCCGAGGCAGCTCAAAAGCGTTCTCAGAGAACCGCTGAGAAGGCCCCAAGAGGTAAACAGTGGTAAACATCTGCCCTCCGTCTGGGAAAACATACTTTTTTAGCACGCTCGCCGTTTTCATCTCGACAGTTTTTAAAGACTGCAGAAGGGACCCCCAAGATCGTCACACGACGGCCGATGAGGACCCCAAGAGAGCCGCAGGACGGCCCAAGAGGGCCCTGAGACGGCCCCAGGGGCTCCCAAGACGGCCCAAGAGAGCCCCAAGAGAGCCCAGGAAAGGGAATACGAACTGATGTGTCGAGCCATTATCCGCAAGATGGCCCCAAGAGCCCCTCAAAGGCCTCCGAGGCACCCCCAAGGGGCCCAAGAAGCCCCAAGAGGCCTCCGAGACGCCCCCAAGAAGCCCCCAAGAAGCCCCCAAGAGGCCCCCAATAGGCCCCAACAAGCCTCCCAGATGCACCCAAAAACCCTCCCACAGGCCCCTGAGAGGCATCCCAAGAGAGCCTCAGAGTTATCCAAGGCACGGTGGCGGGTGGGACCGAAGGCCACTAGAGAATTCCACGATCGTCGCAAGCTCTGACTCTTTCTGGGGGTCGGCAGTATGGCGTAAGCGACTTGAGTAAAAAAGGGATATGCCCCGATAGTACTAGCCAATAAAAAATGGGGAGGACTGAATGCTCAGCCCGATGGAATCCATGCTTGCCACCGCGACAACCATCGGCACAACAAACGGGACAACCATCGGAACGACTATTGGGACAACCATCGGGTTAACTATCGGGACAACCATCAGGACACAACCATCGGAACAACCATCGAGGAATTCATCGGGAAAACCATCGGGACAACCATCGGGACAGCCATCGGGACAACCACCGGGACAACCATCGGGACAGCCATCGGGGCAACCATCGGGACAGTCATCAGGACAGCTATCGGAACAATAACGACCATCGGGACAAAACCATCGGGACAAAACCACCGGGACAACCATCGGGACTGCTTTCGAGACAACCATCGGTGCAACTCGGGCTGGGCGAAAGGGGGGATAGCTAAGGGGGGATTTGAGAGTCATCTCACGTAGCTGATTTTCCCGGCGCCTCCCGGCGCCGGGAGGCGCCATGTATGTATCGAGGAATGGGCCCAGCGGCGAGGCCGAAACCAGCTGCATGCAGCAGATTTCGTACCCCCCCTTTCCCTATCCCTCCCTTTCGTTCGGCCCGAGCAACCATCGGCAAAACCATCGGGACAACCATCGGGACAACCAGCGGGATAACCCTCGGGACAGCCGAGTGGGCAACCCGCGGGAAGACCGTCGTGACAAGCACATGAGGACAGTCCTCGGGACAGCCGCCAAGAAGCCGCGGGATAGCCCCGCCCCCAAGACTTAAGAGGCAGCCGGCCGGGCGGGGCAGGGACTCGCTTGCTCCCTGGCCTCGCCGCCGCGGCGGCGAGCTTCATTGCTCCTGCCCGCGCACGCAGCCTGTTTTTCTTAAAATCCACCGCCGTGCCCCGAGGCACCAGTTGGGGTGTCCTGAGCTCCTCCAGAGGCCTTTGTCCTCAATCCCGAGGGTTTTCTTTTTCGGGGGGGGGGAGAGAAGGGAGGGAGAGGCGAGAGGGAGACAACGCACACGAAGCCCTGCTGATCATATGGCGTATCGTGCCGTGGAGTCGATAGGCAATCCTGAGGGTTCTGTCAGGGGGCCACAACCTGGAATTCCGGGCGCTTCTGGGCGCTCCTGGGGCTACCACGCCTCGCCGCATGCTTTCTTCAGGGCAGAAAAGGCCCCAAGGAGCACGATCCGACACGTCGAGCCCTCCTCCCCAAGGCGACCTCCGAGACCGCCGGCAGGCCCCCAAGAGGCCTTCAGAGGCTCCAGGAGGCCCCCCAAGAGGCGCACATCGGGCCCCACGAGGCCCCCAAGAGGCTCCCGACAGGCCCCAAAGACATTCCAAAATCGCCTCTCTCGAGAGGCCTCCCAAGAGATGCCCACAGGCATCCACGCAGCCCCTGACAACCACGGCACGGTTGCGGGATGGGCCGAAGGTCCATCTCTCTCTCTCTCTCTCTCTCTCTGTACCGTAGCACCCCGCAGATGCGGATAAGAGTGTGAGGGTAGGGACGTCGGCAGTTTGCGAGACTCTGGAGAAGCCCGCCGTAGGCGCCAAAGTTTTATAAATTTGCACCGAGCCCGCCGCAGGCGCCGATTTTTTCGTTATACCAATGTGGGTAGGTCGCGGGTGGGTCGCAAATGGGTCGCGGGTGGGTCGCGGGTGGGTCGCGGGTGGGGCACGGGTGGGGCGCGGACGGGTCGCGGGGTGGGTCGCGGGGTGGGTCGCGGGATGGGTCGCGGGGTGGGTCGCGGGGTGGGTCGAGGGGTGGGTCGCGGGTGAGACGACGACAAAACAACACCAACACCACCAGCACCACCACCACCAGCACCACCACCACCAGCACCAGCACCAGCACCACCACCACCACCACCACCAACAACAACAACAACAACAACAACAACAACAACAACAACAACACCAACTCCACCACCACCACCACCACCACCACCACCACCACCACCACCACCAACAACAACAACAACAACAACAGCAACAGCAACAGCAACACCAACGACAACACCAACAACATCAACACCAACACCAACACCAACACCAGCGACAACATCAACAACAACAACAACAGCAACAGCAACACCAACGACAACACCTACAACATCAACACCAACACCAACACCAACACCAACACCAGCGACAACAGCA